CAGTTACAGAGAAAATTTTATTACCATAAGATAGAAATGTGTGTGTGATTTATCAACATATACACTTCTGAATACCGAGATTTATTAAACAGTCATTGCTTTTATGTACCAATTCACCCACCCACGCCCAATGAAAATAGGATAGTTTTCTTCTCCCCATCACCACTGAAAGCCTTGGTTGCACATCTAACTGGTAACTTCTGTTTTTTTTAGCTTCCACTTGAACTTCATTAAAAGCTTTGATTTGGGCCTTGCTAAGCTCATTCTGGGTGAGTTGCACAGCAGGGGTAGGGTTAGCCCTAGCACAGCACACAGGCTGTGTCTTAGAGAGCAGGAAAAGAACTCTCTTTCATGTACTTAGTAAAGTGATTTGTTATTTTCTGCCTCAACTTTGAGGGTCAAGTAAGGTAGAGTATATATATTTTTTGAGGTGGGGAGGAGGAGTACTTAAAAGGAAAGAAAGTAGACATCAACAGAAGCATCAGCAAAAGTTCTAAAACTTGGTTTATACTTTAAAAAATATCTATTGATGCAATAAATTCCTTGACTTTTGTCTTGATTCCCATGAACAGAAATCAAGAAATGTAAAATTTTAAAGTTTGTTATGAATAGAATGATTGTTTTTTCTCTCTAGCTTGCACTATGTCAATAATAACTCTTTTGGAGTGTTATATTTTCCATAGAATCAGATTTACAGTACAATGTGTATTTCTCATTTGGTGATTAAACACATTCAGTAATTTAACTACATTATTTAGCTCCCTTCCCAGAAAAGGTCCTTTAAAAAAATTTTTTTTTAAATTGATTTCAGAGAGGAAGGGAGAGGGAGAGAGAGATAGAAACATCAATGATAAGAGAGAATCATTGATCAGCTGCCTTCTGCACGCCCCCAACTGGGAATCAAGCCTGCAACCTGTGCCCTTGCCCGGAATTGAACCCAGGACCCTTCATTCTGCAGGCGGACACTCTATCCACTGAGCCAAACCAGCTAGGGCAGAAAAGATCCCTTTTTTTGTGTTTTCTTTTGCTTAGTTTTATTTTCTTATTTCTTTAAAATATTTAGGTATAGCCTTTATAATGAAAAAGAGGAAACCCTTTATTCCAAAAAGAGTAAGAAGCTCATTTAACTTAGAGTTAATGGAATTTGGAACTTAATTTCTTGTGTTGACCAGCCATTGTTCCTTCGGGAATAATTATTGAAAGCTATGTAATTGTAGTAAAACTCACAACTCTTATGAAACAATATTTCCTTTATTGTTCTATTGGCACAACACTGCTGGGATTTCTGTGTTACGTGATCACACCCAAGAATCTGGAAGCTCTCCTACAGCTTTGCTCTAATGTCAATAGGAGAAACTGTTTTCATATCAACAGAGCAATGAGTCAGTGAAATCTCAGATTGCTCATTTTTTAAGACATTCATGCACACCAGCATATTTTACACCTTAACAATTTTATGAGAGACTGTCACCATATTGTATGTGATTACATTTAGGCTAAGTAGCAAATTAGGATTAACATTTTGTTTTGTTTTTTTTAACCTTCACTTCAAGCAAGACTGTGGAAGGTCTTGCTTAGCAAGGTAGGAGAATTTAACATAAGTCTGAAGGCAATAGGAAGTTATTAAATTTTTCTGAATAGAAGAATGATAGTTTTGGAGCTAACTAGAGAAAGATTGGTCTGTGATTATATAGTCTTTGTATTGGAAGGGGAATCCTGGAGTCTGTAACTCATTTGGGATCTTTCCACAACAGAGGTATGAAGCCATAAGAACCTACATTACTGATGATAATAATGGCAGCAGAGAGGAAAGAGCATTTGAGAGAACTGTTACTAAAGAAGAGTTAACTTTCACTGCACAAGGGTGAACACACTAGAATGTAAACTCATTGAGAGGAGAGAACTTGTCTGTCTCTTATCATTTTCATATTTCCTACTCATAGAATTATGCCCAGTACATAGTAGACCCTTGATAAATAATAGTTGAGTGAATTAAAATAAAAACAAGTGAATGCAGTAAAGTGTAGTGGGTGCTGTAGCAGAGACAGAGAGGAAGGCTTGATTGTACCTGGTGGATTAGCTGGAGTGCTCCAGGAGCACGAGGGGTGGAGAGGACATCAGAGCAGAGAGAAGAGGCAGGCTGTGAGATGTGAAACAGCGGGTATGAGTAGGGACAATCACCAGCACCTGGCCATTTCTCATGGGCAATGTACTAAGCAGGATGAGGTTGCTGGACTTGAAAGAGTCTAAACATCAGGATAAGGAGTTGGGACTTATTGCAGGTTTTAAAACAACTGGGTAACAAATAGAGGTTGTTATGTTATATAAAAACATCTAGTGGAAATGAGTGGAAGGTTTAGTGCGATCTCTATGTTTAGAATGAAACATTGAGAGACTAGAGTCAAATTAGAAGGCTATTGCAACAACTTATGAAAGAGGTGATGCAGGACTAGTCTAGAGAAGCAGTCAAAGGGATCGAGATCATGGGGAGGTTTTGAGAAAATGCAGGAGTTAGAAAATAAAAGTCAGATGATGAATGAAAGGTGTAGAAGCGTGAAGTAGGTAGTGGCATCAAGAATGGATAGGGCCCTAACCCAGCGGTTCTCAACCTGTGGGTCGAAATGAGTGGAAGGTTTAGTGAGATCTCTATGTTTAGAATGAAACTTTGAGAGACGAGAGTCAAATTAGAAGGCTATTGCAACAACCTATGAAAGAGGTGATGCAGGACTAGACTAGCGAAGCAGTCAAAGGGATCGAGATCATGGGGAGGTTTGGAGAAAATGCAGGAGTTAGAAAATAAAAGTCAGATGATGAATGAAAAGTGTAGAAAGGTGAAGTAGGTAGTGGCATCAAGAATGGATAGGGCCCTAACCCAGCGGTTCTCAACCTGTGGGTCGCGACCCCTTTGGTGGTCGAATGACCCTTTCACAGGGGTCGCCTAAGACCATCCTGCATATCAGATATTTACATTACGATTCATAACAGTAGCAACATTACAGTTATGAAGTAGCAACGAAAATAATTTTATGGTTGGGTCACAACATGAGGAACTGTATTTAAAAGGCCAGAAGGTTGAGAACCACTGTGCTAGGGTATTTCAGAAGCCTTGTCTGCAATTGTATTCAAAATGCTTTGTCTTCTCTCTATCCCTCTCCCTTCCTGTCTGTAAAAAATCAGAAAAATATATTTAAAAAAAAGAATGGATGGGATGAATCCCAGGGTTCCACCTAGTCCAAAGGTGGCACAACATGCTGAGAAATGAAGAAAAGGAGGAGGAATTGGGAGAAGAAAATAATGAATTAAGTATTAGACATGTTGACTTCAAAGTGTTAGAGGAACAAGCAGGTGGGTTGGTTAGAGAGTAACTTGGACTATGTAGCTTTGGGAGGTGTTTGGGTCAAAGTTAAGACATGAAGTTGGCCCTGGTCATGGCTCAGTTGTTTGGACATCCTCTGGTGCACCAAAAGGTTGCTGTTTTGATTCCTGGTCAGGGCACATGCCTGGGTTACAGGCTTGAGCCCCTGGTGGGGGCATGCAGGAGGCAGCTGATCGATGTTTTGCTCTCACATTGACGTTTTCTCTCTGTGTCCCTCTCTGTCCTCTCTCTAAAAATCAAGAAAAATATTTTAATGATCTATCTTTAATAAATACATGATTTAGATAATATTGTAGCCAGAGGTGTGTTGACACAAAAGAGATTTAGAATGAGACTGGAAGTCTGTGGAATATCCACATTTAAAAGTCAAGTAGAGGAAGACATACCAGCAACAAAGACCAAAACTAAATGGTGAGGGATGTCAGAGTAGGACCAAAAGAGCCTTTGCATCAGATTGAAGAATTTTGCTAATTGAAAGCTTTAAAATATCATGGAAATGAAGACAAATTTTAAGAATGAGAAATTATACCACAAATGTTATTAAGATTCAAGGGCGATGAATGCTTAAAAATGACCGTTGAATTTGACAGGTAAAAAGTCACAGGTAACTTTTCTATGAACTATATCAACAAAGTGATGTAACTAGGAGCCAGTTTTGAGTAGGTTCAGGACTAGCGGGTCACAAGTCAACAAGGGCATTATCCTTTCAAACACTCGGTTGTGGAAAGGAGGGGGTAGCTAGAGAGAATATCAGCACTGGAGTCATTGTCATTTTGTGTGTTTAACTGTTTTATAAGGATGGGAGTGATGTGAACGTGGCATCCAAATCTTTATCACCAGCCCTGACCTATCCCCTGACCTCAGAGTCTTACATTCATATGAATGTTCGATACATTTTGAAATTATTCCAGTCACTACAAATTCAATATTTCATCTTCTACTCTTAACCAGTCTTCCGCCTGTATTCCATGTCACCCTTCAATAAACCAAACTAGAAGCCTATATGTTATCCTTCACCAACTACTTCAAGTAAACAGTCACCTCCTATACAGCTTGATTACATATACATATGTATTCTCCTTTCTATTCCTGGGATAGATCCTAAACCTCCCTCAGCTAGACTCCGTTCTCTATCCTGCATCAGAGTGATCTTCCTGACATGGACCTTGGAACCTATCATCTTTCTACCAGATACTTTTATGGCCACCTTCTACCCACATGGTGAAGACCTAAGCTCCTTATAGAACAACTCCAGTCTTTGGCATTCATTTATGACCAAAATGACTGCATTTCCCTGAACATACCTTCTCAGCATCCTTTCTGCTGCTGCTCCCGCTTCCCCCCTTGACCTGGAACAGCTTTCTGTGCTTTTTGATTAGCAAACTCTTATTCATCTTTCAGGACTTCATCTATATGTTATATCCTTTATTTGGACTTCTTTGTAGCCCTCCCATCATCTCCCAGGGTGGCTAAGTGCCACTTCACTAAACTGTTATAGGGCCCTACGCATATTACAATCACAGAATTCTCATACTGAATTGGAGATGTCTACATGTGACTGTCTTCTCCTGGATTTTGAGCTCTTTGGAGTCAGGAATGATGCCTTGATCTTCTTATTCCTTTGTATTTAGCATATCAGCTGGCACATGAAAACTGCTCAAATGCTTGTTCAACTGGACTGAGCAGGGGGGTGGGGTGAGAAGGTAAAGATGCTCAAGAGACAAGGAGAGAACCCTACAAAGAGGTTTGAAAGAACTGGTAGAGGATAGAATAAGGATGCTATATTATGGGCTAGTTTTGAACAGAAGAGATACCTTTAGATATGTGCTTAAGGGGAAGGAGGTAAAGATGGAAGCAGATGGAAGTGGTAAGGAATAAAGTGAGTTGCAGGTTGAGGGATCTATTTTCTTTGTTAAACAAGTGGTTGGAAATGGGGGTGGTGTTCAATCAAAACTTGGTGAAAATAGTGGCAGCGAAGAAATGCATAGAACACAGTTGCCCAGAAAGTAAATGCGCATCTTAAATGCAAAGACCCTAGATACATTTTATTCTGGAACATGCAACCTCTTAGGATGCATTCATATGCTTGAAATTCGTTTTCGAGGCCTCGTTTTAGGTGCCCCTGTAACATTCTCGTTGCATATGTGCGCACATGCTTGCATCTGGAGATCTTTGCTCTTGGGCCAGGCCGCAGGCTTGCCACCAGAGCCGGGGTTGGTGGCTGTGCTGTTGCTGTTGGTGGAGTCCAGTGACACATGGCTCATGGCCAGGCTGCCTGCGCTGTGGGAAGAGTAACTATACACCGTCTGGAGAAAGGCAGATTTTGTGTTAGTCTCTTGCTTACAAAGAATAACATAGCATTTGGGGAAGAATGTGCAACACAGGATCCCATAGTTAGATATTAAAATAACGATAATCTCCACAGCTGGCAAATATTTGCCAGAGGTGGTGGCATACACGGGGATGAATGTGATCCACGCTATGAAGTAAATGAGCATGCCAAATGTGATGAATTTGGCTTCGTTATAATTCTCAGGTAATTTCCTGCCTTTGAAGGCAAAGAGGAAGCAGATGAAGGCCAGGATGGCAATATAGCCCAGCATGGTGCCAAAGGCAAGGATGGACCCTTCCTCACATTCCAGGATAATGACTCTGGGCAAGGAGACATTCCCTTCCACCGTAGGGGCTGCAAAGATTAGCCAGAGGGTGCAAATGGCCACCTGGATACCTGTGCATGTGAAGATGATGGGGATCGGTTTATAGAGGCACTTCAGGAAGTTCTGTAACTTGGGATCGAAGCTGAAGGCAAGCAGTATTTTCAGGGACTTGGTCAAAATGCAGGAGATGCAGAGAGCGAAGCTCACACCAAATAGCATCTGCCGTGTTTTACATGTGAAGTCTTGTGGTTCTCCGACGAAAAAGCCGGTACTGGCAAAAGTGAGGACATGACAGAGGAGGATCACGTAGCAGACCATTAATCCCCCAGATGATTTCACAACGGGCGTGTTCAGGTTTCTTGTAAATATTATGCCAACAGCCAGAACAAACACGATTCCCAGCAGGGAGAGTGCCAGGAGCAGGACAGCCAGGGCATCATTCCAGCTGAGATACTCCACTTCCTTTTCAAAGCACGTGGTGCTCTTTACGGGGGCCCAGTGAGTTTTGTTGTTGCATAAAAGGCAGTGATCCATGTCTGAAAGACAGAGGAGGTTCGGTTACATTGCAAACATTCAAACGAGGTGATTGTCCAGCATTCTACAAATAGAATTCTTCTCAGCCATAGATTGGACTAAAAAATGGATATAGATAATGGTCACAATGGTTACTCATTAAAATAAAGCCTGCACCAAACCCAAAGAAAGTGAGAGAGGACAGATGAAGGCGAGGGAAAAGGAAGAAAGGAAGAACAAACAAAAAAAAGAGAGAGAAAGAAAAAAAGCCAGCTAGGCTGTGAAGTTTTAGGAAATTATTGTACTCTGGGTAGATTTTAGTCTGTTGTGAACTTGCTATTATAGGTGGCTGTTCAGGGGACTCTGTTGAGAAGAAAAGATTTAGAATCAGACATATCCTCAAGTCCCTTTCTCTGAGTCACCTGTGAGTCCTGTAATATTGAACAAGCTCATTGAATTTTCCGAGCCTATTTGCAGTTCTCTTAAAAACTAAAAATCGACTGCGTCATTGGGGTGCTGCCTTCAGTGAGATTATAGATATGAGGTGCTTTGTGTGGAGCATATCAGGCTATAGACTCTGTGGTGGGAGCTGCTATTGTCAAAGAGGCTGCAGTTCTTTCAGAAGCAGAGACAATATGGCTGGGTCACCCCAACGCCTCCGAAAGCGAGATAACACAAGATTGTAATCAATGACAGTTGATAAGAGTTAAAGTTTATTTTCCCTGGCGGGAAGGAAGGGGGTGTTAGCGGCAGTGAGCCTCTCACTGCAGTGATAAGGTTGGAAATGATTTATGCGGATTCTGACTGCAGGTGCAGCACTGATAGTTGATAGCGTGGAGTTTCTGGGAGGGTGATTGCATTTGCTCCCCATTTCCACCCCCTAATGACGGGGTCCCGGCTACTTCTAAGAAGCCTTGCTGTGAGCGTCCATCTGCTCCCACTCCACAGTGCCCACTCAGCGTTATACAGCACCTGTGTTCTCTTCCTCCTTAACCTCAAATAGAAACCTTGTGTTTCTATTTATAATCTCTACATTTTCAGCTTCCTCCTCTTACCAAATCCAGTTTCCTTACAAATATCCTTTCTTCCCTGTCTTTCCTTTACCGTTGCTGCCAGTGTCTGCCATTTTATTCATTCAGCCAACAGTTATCGGCCTTGCCTGTGTAAAAGGCTGCGCACTGGAGACGTCAAGAGGAACAGGAGAGGATATCCTTTCAGATTAGCCTACATCCTTGCTTTTCCTCCCAAGTTGTGCTCCGTCTTTTACACTTGTTCTTGGAAGCAACTTGCCCTGGTTAGCAAGAGACAACCCAGATTGTATCCTGAAAGACTTTGTGCATCTTTATGAGAAATAAATGCTATGTACTCGCTTGGTGTTTTTATTTATCCCACTTGGCAAACCGTTGTAGATACTGTTTTGCCTGGAACCCCGAGCCCCCCCCCCTCCCCCGCCCATTACCTAATTATTTATGCAGCACAGCACAGCCCAGTTTGGGATAAGGCATTTTTGTAAAATGATGACAGAACATGGATATTGGAATGTTTACATTGGGATGCTTCTCCTCTTGGAGCCAATAAGAAAAAAGAATAAGCATCCAGGGGCTATTCGGGCTCTGGGGTTCTCAGCTTTTATAGGACAAATAGGAATGCTACTATTAACAAGGGAATAGGATGCTTTTAAAGCAGGCTTGACTTATAAAGTGCTGATAGCTCCTTTCAGGGTTCCGAAGGCTGCTGACCTCACTCCTGTTCTCTAATATGTGTATATTGCTCTGATGTTGTCAAATTGTTAACAGGTTTGGCAAATGATCAGTTAGTAGCATCTACTCTCTGTCAATAGTTCACTCCCTTGTCTCACAGAAGGTTTTTTCAGGCTTCACTGTTGCCTCGGGGTAAGAATAGTGAGATCTTCCAGGTAAGCAAACCTCTGTATATACATTGATTTCTATCGTGCTTGGCTTAGTTAACTCAGCATTGGTTGTTTATAGCTATTGTGCTCCAACTGCAAGTCGGCATGTCTGTGTGGGAGATACATGGATAAAAATGGACAGAGGACATGCACTGTTTTAAGAATGATGGAGAGGAAACCAGTTGAGGGTTTGTCATCTTCCCTTGCATGTGAAGTTACTTTCACATCCTTACTATGTATTGGTTGCATGTCTGCTGATATAATAGAGCAAATTCCAAGATAAAATGAAATCTCACTGCTGTTTCATCTGGGAGAGAAGCATGAGACGCTTTTCCCCCCAAATGAAAGAATAATCCAAAATGGAATTCCTATAAACAAAATATCAGCCTAAGAGAAATGGTCCAGGCGTGTCACTGCCCAGGTTGCTGTGACTGTAATTACCCGTCTGGTTACTGTAGTGGTTTTCAGGGCAGTTCACACATTCATAGCAGCAGGTGTGCTGACTTCTGGTGGTTTTCTTCATTTGCCCAGGACTGCATTCCTTGGAGCATTTGGATTGAATTTGCTGCAAAATGAAAAGAAATCCCAAATAGGTTTTTAAAAAGGATTATTTTTACTAACTTGGACTTCATTTAAAGATACATTTACTAAATAGTATTTTGACACTTTTAAAAAATAGTGTCATCGGATTGTGTTGTCATTCACATTCTGGAGGAATGTGAATAAGTCTAAAAAAATAAGAAAATACTGTAGATAGTGAAACTGCCTTATGGGTCCTCCGGAGCAAACTTTTAATCTGAAGTACCCACACTCCTGGAGGATGTTCGGCTACAACCGCAGGACTCACCATGAGACAAGCCGGACATCATTACCGGGATAACAGTGAAACCTTTCTTCCCAGCAACATGGCCCTTTGTATCCCCCCACATAAGAGACAGCAGAGACATGATAGCTTGGGGATGTCAATAGATTTAGGGTTATCTGATGTCGGACTATGGGTTCTGCTGAGTTACCAGAAATGGTGATAGCCCAACTAGCCTGCATATTGACAAGAGGATCTTGAAATCTGACCTAACTGATCTCAGGTATTATTTGTTTTTGCTACCTCCATGAAATATTTATTTATGGGTGTTTCCATCAAAAAGGCAAACGGGTCTCTTTCTCTTTTATTTTTTATTAATCCTCACTGGAGGATATTTTTTCCATTGCTTATTTTAAGAGAGAGTGGAAAGAAAGGAGGGAGGGCAAGAGCGAGAGAGAGGTGTGAGAGAAATACATCAATTGGTTGCCTCCTGGGGCCTAGGATAGAATCTGCAGCCCAGGTGCATGTCCTTGACTGGGAATCGACCCTTTGGTGTGTGGGCTGATGCTCTAACCATTGAGCAGCTAGCTAGGGCAGATGGTTACATTTTAGGAAAGACAGAAAGAAAATAAGAAAGTGAACCACATTTTCTGAGAGAGAGAGAGAGAGAGAGAGAGAGAGAGAGAGAGAGAGAGAGAGAGGAATTGAGGATGTGTACAAGGGACAAAAACAAAGTTGGCTATGGAATTTAAGGAAAGAAGTTGGGGACAATGAATAGGTTATAGGATCACTGGAGGCCCTGGTGGTGGGGTCAAGGACTTTTGCTGTCGAGATACCAATTAATTTGAGTGCTACAAAGCAACCTACAACACAATTACCTTAAGATTCCTGAACTCATTTTTTGTTTCCTGGTCTGTGATGATAAAGACATCATTCTTCAAGTTATATTGTGCCATCTTGGTGATAGTCATGTGGCCATTGACCTCCTTCCAGAACACAACATCATATCCAGTATTCATATCCCCATGGGCATCAAAATGAAATGACTTTCCTTCATCCGCGAATGTCACATTTTTCAGTACATCTAGTAACTATAAAAAAGAAGAATAGAAACAAACACTAATAGAAATATTGTAAGTGTATCCATTATATCAATTTTAAAATTATAACACTGCCTTACAAGGAACATCATCTACAAATTATAAAAAAAGACATCTCGAATCAGCGAGTGTGGTAACTAGTTGCAAAGGTTCTTACCTATTGGGCAACAATTTGAGAACTCTAGCCTCATTTATGCCAAAGTCTTGCTCTGTGAATTTGAGAAGCAAGTTAATGTTTATGGATGGTAGCTTCTCTAGACCATAACATTGAAATCTGAGCATATTCATTTTTTCACATTTCAGAATGGGTCCTCTGGGGCAGATGCCTGGACTCTAACTCTGGTTCCATATCTAATTAGTGGTGTGATCTCAGCAGTTACAATTTTTCCTAGGCCTCAGCTTCTCCATTTGTAAAGTGAAGTAAATGAAACCTACCTTATAGGGTTTTTGGAAGGATTAAATATAATTATGAATGTAAAGAGTGCCCAATATCTGGCACAGATTAAGGGTTAATAAAGGCTATATTAATACCTATTATACCTGTCATTAATTAATGGGGACAATATGCAAACAAATAAAAATATTGAGTCTATCAACTAACAATGTCATCTGACATTCATATATTACTTGCTAATACTCAAATCTGTGATACCGTTTTACTTCATAACAACTTGGTGAAGCATGTTGAACAGGGATTATCTTCCTCTTTTCTTATACGAGGACCCCTAGCCAAGAGGCAATGGGACTTACCTGAGGACACACATCTTGACTTTCATTATATGGTCTTTCCATTGCACCTATTAATATATTAATTCAAAGTCTTCTCACTATTTTTTTCTCTCTGACTCACAAGTAATCACTAATGTGCCATCTGTCCCTATGAAAGGTAGCAAAAAGCATCTTTTCTTTCTAGAATCACAATTGGCCCGGGTCTTGGCCCAGTCTGAGTGGGTAATTCAAGCCAGTCGTTGTCCTGCTCACCTCCCAAAAATGAAGGCTGAGGGGACCGAGCTACAAACCTGGGAGGTGGCCCAGTAACAGCAGCACCCTGCTCTTGGGCATGTGCTGAGTAGCATCCCCATCAGAGAAGTTTGGTTGATGGGTGCGTGTAAGGGAACTGCTAATGTCCACCCTAAGTCCATACTTTGTTAGTCACACGGAAGATGTGGATCTTATTATCTCCAATGGTCTTCAACTCGGCTTCAGTGATTGAGTGCAGAGTACAGTGACTTCTAAATTCCATTTAATATATTAATATTAAATAATTTTTAACTTGAGGGGATAGAAATGCAATGAAAAATTACTTGTTTTTTTTTTTTAACCAACTTGTACAGTGAATACCATGCAACTAGGACAGGAAATGTGTTACTGACAAATGAGGCAGCCACATTGAGCTTGTGCTGCAGAGGAAGAACACTGGGCATTGGGGTAGGAAAACAGGTTGCAGTTCTGGCTCCTCTGTTAACTTGATATATAATCACGGCTAAGTCAATAGCCTTTGTGAACATACCAGGCCTGCTCATTATCTAGGTCTATGATGCCCTGTGGCTTTTGTTAGGTGCAAAAGCTATGAAATGTGGCAAAATTTATTCTATTTGAATAGAATTATTCTTATTTTATTCCATCTCAGTTAATTGTTTATGAATGTTTCTTTCCTTCATTTTTTTGGTCAATAGAATATAAAAAAATCAAGTTGTATTTTAAGGTAAATATATTAGCTGTGACAGTCATTTCAATGACCAAATGTCACTTTAGTAAAATCTCTAAGTATATTGATTTTATTACACATCCCCACAGATTTGATAGTTCATGTAATGAATGTAAATTCATCAGTGTTACATTTAAATAGCAGGATATTAGATTTAACCTGGTGAAAATAACAAAAAAAAATCCTATTTTAGCAATTTTGTGGAAGAAAAAAATGGAGGGAACAAAAATAAAAGAATAAGTGAGGGCCTGCTGTCAAGATTCCCACCTCTGCCTGTATGTTGATTTTTTTTCCCAGTTCCTTCCTTAAGCAAAACACCTAAGCCCCAGTAACTCAGTTCTTTAGGGAGCATATCCTTTTCCACTCTTGTGTTTGAATGATAATTTCCACCTGTTTTTCCCTTGTATTTAATTAGGTTTTACAGGGTAAAGTTCTGACACATATACATTCTGTAAATAATGATAACATTGTACGATGTACATAAGTGCAATTTTGTGCTTGTTCTTACAGGAAACACAGTGCTTTTCATTACTTGTTAAATATCATAGAACATTTGCCCTGCATTAAGGTACAGTTTGTACATTAACACTCCAATTATTAATCTATTAAATGCTTTTTTTCCACCAATTATGTATTTATTTTTCATCGAAACTCTGAAATTCACTATAAATTGACATTACAAAATGTAGAGAGTAGGATTTGCATATCCATTATTTACTCCAATTATTAATCTATTAAATGCTTTTTTCCACCAATTATGTATTTATTTTTCATCGAGACTCTGAAATTCACTATAAATTGACACTACAAAATGTAGAGAGTAGGATTTGCATATCCATTATTAGCTTATTCACCTCTGTATGCTAATAACCTGCCTTTGTGAACACAAGTCCAGGAGGCCGCACCAGATAAGCTGGTGTAGTTGATGCTTTCCATATCCCTAAGGGCCCTGATGTTTCACTCCATCTCCACAAGCAAGCTGTGCTTATGAAACAGAGGTATCTATGTGAGTAAACTACAGAAGAGCAGAGGAAGCAGCCTAGTATCTCCAATACCCAACCTATGTTTTTTTCTTTTGTGAAGTTTCCTGTGGTGTAGCAAAAAGCCCACTGGATTAAAGCTGGGGCAGGTTCACTCCTAACTATGTGGGTGACCATGGGCCAGACCCTACTGCCGAGGTCCCCTCCATCTCGTTTAACCTGGTGAAATTAACAAAAAAATTATATTTTAGCAATTTTGTGGAAGAAAAAAACGGAGGGAACAAAAATAAAAGAATAAGTGAGGATCTGCTGTCAAGATTCCCACCTCTGCCTGTATGTTGATTTTTTTTTCAGTTCCTTCCTTAAGCAAAACACCTAAGCCCCAGTAACTCAGTTCTTTAGGGAACATATCCTTTTCCACTCTTGTGTTTGAATGATAATTTTCACCTGTTTTTCCCTTGTATTTAATTAGGTTTTACAGGGTAAAGTTCTGACACATATACATTCTGTAAATAATGATAACATTGTACGATGTACATAAGTGCAATTTTGTGCTTGTTCTTACAGGAAACACAGTGCTTTTCATTACTTGTTAAATATCATAGAACATTTGCCCTGCATTAAGGTACAGTTTGTACATTAACACTCCAATTATTAATCTATTAAATGCTTTTTTTCCACCAATTATGTATTTATTTTTCATCGAAACTCTGAAATTCACTATAAATTGACATTACAAAATGTAGAGAGTAGGATTTGCATATCCATTATTAGCTAATTCACCTCTGTATGCTAATAACCTGCCTTTGAGAACACAAGTCCAGGAGGCCACACCAGATAAGCTGGTGTAGTTGATGCTTTCCATTTCCCTAAGGGCCCTGATGTTTCACTCTATCTCCACAAGCAAGCTGTGCTTATGAAACAGAGGTATCTATGTGAGTAAACTACAGAAGAGCAGAGGAAGCAGCCTAGTATCTCCAATACCCAACCTATGTTTTTTTCTTTTGTGAAGTTTCCTGTGGTGTAGCAAAAAGCCCACTGGATTAAAGCTGGGGCAGGTTCACTCCTAACTATGTGGGTGACCATGGGCCAGACCCTACTGCCGAGGTCCCCTCCATCTCTAAACTCTTGTGTCAGTCACCAGAAACGCTTCCTCTTGTCACTTCTTTCAGATGGAGTGGGAAGAATATGGGTCCTGTGGACCTGCCCTAATATAAAAATTACAGATGATAAAATTTTAGTACAGTAGGCCCTAAAATTTTATAGTTATTATTTTTGTTATCACTCCAAAATCACTCTCTTATTTGAACATGTCTCTTCTGACGTCTGGACTAATATCATACCGCCATTGCTACGTAGGATGTCTCATATAAGTTCTTCCAATTCAACATCTCCAAAATGCAATGATAAATATTTCTTCCTCTGATCAGACCTCCACTCTTCTCTGTTAGACGTCTGGACTATTATCATACCGCCATTGCTACGTAGGATGTCTCATAAGTTCTTCAAATTCAACATCTCCAAAATGCAATGATAAGTATTTCTTCCTCTGATCAGACCTCCACTCTTCTCTGTTTTTCCACCTCAACAAATGACACCAGTTGCTCAAATATTTGACTCATTTGTAGCAACTTCCATCTATCATCCTTTATATGCAGTTTCTCTCCAAATGCTCTCTTCATTCTTCCCTTTAAATAAGAAACTCTGATTCACTATAAATTGACATTACAAAATGTAGAGAGTAGGATTTGCATATCCATTATTAGCTAATTCACCTCTGTATGCTAATAACCTGCCTTTGAGAACACAAGTCCAGGAGGCCACACCAGATAAGCTGGTGTAGTTGATGCTTTCCATTTCCCTAAGGGCCCTGATGTTTCACTCTATCTCCACAAGCAAGCTGTGCTTATGAAACAGGTATCTATGTGAGTAAACTACAGAAGAGCAGAGGAAGCAGCCTAGTATCTCCAATACCCAACCTATGTTTTTTTCTTTTGTGAAGTTTCCTGTGGTGTAGCAAAAAGCCCACTGGATTAAAGCTGGGGCAGGTTCACTCCTAACTATGTGGGTGACCATGGGCCAGACCCTACTGCCGAGGTCCCCTCCATCTCTAAACTCTTGTGTCAGTCACCAGAAACGCTTCCTCTTGTCACTTCTTTCAGATGGAGTGGGAAGAATATGGGTCCTGTGGACCTACCCTAATATAAAAATTACAGATGATAAAATTTTAGTACAGTAGGCCCTAAAATTTTATAGTTATTATTTTTGTTATCACTCCAAAATCACTCTCTTATTTGAACATGTCTCTTCTGACGTCTGGACTAATATCATACCGCCATTGCTACGTAGGATGTCTCATATAAGTTCTTCCAATTCAACATCTCCAAAATGCAATGATAAATATTTCTTCCTCTGATCAGACCTCCACTCTTCTCTGTTTTTCCACCTCAACAAATGACACCAGTTGCTCAAATATTTGACTCATTTGTAGCAACTTCCATCTATCATCCTTTATATGCAGTTTCTCTCCAAATGCTCTCTTCATTCTTCCCTTTAAATAACCATGCACAGGGTGGGACAAAAGTATGTTTATAGTTATGAGTATGCAAAACTAGAGTTGATGCTTGTATTATTATTTATTAATTATTTTATTATTTCCATAACAACAACTGTAAACCTACTTTTTCCTCCCTGTACATGTTTCTCCATTCTCGTTGTCATACTGTAGCACAAGGCATCCCTATTTTAGCCTGGATGGCCACACTGGTCTTTTTCCCACCCCTAATGGCTTGATTGCATGCCTCACTAGAGAACTTTAGGGAGAAAATTGTCTTAGTTTCCATAATATTTTTAGCACTAAGCACCATGTCTAGAACATTGAGACATCGAACCAGTATTTGCTAAATAAATGTATTTACAGAAGTTAGATTATTAGACATTCCTCTCATTCCACATACATCACTTACTACCTTGTATATCATCAGTTAAAGGAAAATAAAATACTAAAAAGAAAGCCAAAATCATTGATTGTGCTGTCCCTGAATACTGTTCACAAATATCACCAAATGTGGAGCCAAAGTAAGGATTATCCTCAAATATTGGGAGAAATGAAATTCTTTAAAGTTATTTGAAATCTAAAATCATTCAAAAACTATTATTTACATGTTAGTGAATTTTGCCAGTGGAAAAATAATCTTTAGGAATGTAGCTTTGATTAGTGACCTTCAATGTTGCTGATTTTAAAAGTTTAATGTCTATGGAGATTGCCTCATAAAAAGACAACATTATTTGCATTATTTGTCCTACTGAATATGGCACAGACATAGCTCACTCACATCATGATCAAAGGATCCTCTCTCCCTCTTTCCAATCTGTTTCTGTTTGTTTCTAGATAAACAGACTCCCTGGGACATAAAGGACAACCCCGGGCTTCTAGTGTTTAAATGAAACATTTTAGCAGATTTTGTTTAGATTATACTATTTCCAGGCTTTTCTTCAGAAGGTTTGAGATTTATTCCTGATGTAAAATACGTTCCCAGACCTTTAGAAGATGAATAGCTCTTGCTATTTGTATTTCTCTTTCCTTATGAGGCTTTTTATGTTGTGGTTTCATTATGGTGTCCACTTAATTTATAGTTTTTACCAATCCCTTATTAAACATTTTATACTAAAAAGAGTATGTTTTCAAACATGCACCTTACAATTACTAGGCATATATACTTTAAAGAGAGTTCTAATTTTAAAAAGATCCTAATTTCTAATCTTACTTCTTCATTAGGTTTTGTGCCTTGCATTTCCAAGGTGAAAACTGGTTTTAAAACGAACAATTTAAAACACCCTATGACCATCACATGACCCACCAAATGTAAGCTGATCACCTCAGACTCTGGAGCTTGTGGATGTTTAAAATAAAAATTACAAAAGTAGAAATAGCCTGTCCTGGATTCCCACTTGTAAGAACAGAAGAATTGAGCTTTATTCCCAAATTTAAAACAAATATATTTTTGGAACATGATTCTGCTTCAAGGCAGATAAGTTTGGCTTTGAATACATAATACCGAGGAATTTGTTTTTGATGAGTTAAATTTATCACCAGAAAGCAGCAATTTGCTTTTAAATGACTTGTTCATGGGCATTTAAAAAACAGAATGGAAAAATTTTCACTAAATAGGGCCACATTAAGCTTGTGTTTCTACAAACTAATCAAAGAGAAGAAAGGGAAAGGCGTCTTTTACGCAATTAGTGATTCATTTTAAATGGAGATATCATAGGAACTGTTATGATTGACCTAAAACATTCATTTGAAGAAGACTGCAGTTCTAGAGAGACTGCCCTAAGTCAGAGTCATAACTGGAGGCTTTGGGACTATATGTCACCAGAGACATCATGAAAAGTAGAGGGTGTGGAGTCAGATGACCCAGACTAGAATCATATTTCTGGCACTTCCTAGCTTAGTTTTCTCATCCATAATATTTAGTAATGATAAAAAGACTCATTAAGCATGCCTGGTCTATCTTGCGTTTGTTAAGAGCTTGAAAAGAGGTAATTCTTATGAAGGCTTGACAAACTCTAGATCAGTTAGAAATACACAAACTCCAGGAAAATAGCACTATCAACAGAATCTTCTTGGAAAATAAAAGAACACAACTTTTGTGGGTCAGAGTAGGAAGTAAAGGTAAAATAACAACTCTATTATCTTCAGTAACAAAAAGCAATGGGTAGAAATTCAGGTTATTCAAACACTGAAGGTGTCGACTAATAAGAGGAATACTAAAAGCATTTCTTCTAACTGCAAATTAAAGCAATGAAAGAAATGGAGGAAATTATGGTAGGGGAATTTTCATGGGTATGTGAGTTAGTACCTCCCATGGTTGAAAGGCGTTGGGGTTCTTACAGTCTCGAGCTTGGCACAGATCCCGAAGGGCATAAGCAAGGGCAAACACAGCGAGCTGAATACTGTGAACAAGTCCTGGCTCAGTGTAATCCCACAGGAAGTCATTTCTCAGGGAGAAGTTCCTGTCTATATCCTTGTTAGCCTTGTAGGCCAAAGTCCCCTGAGAATGGTTGAAAATGCATTGACTCAAATCACTGTCTTTGACATAGGCACAGGCAGACAAGAGCATGGCATATTCATTTAAGGGTTTGTTATGATCCTTGGGAAACATATGCAGATTTTGAAGAAAGGACTGGAAAGAGGACACATTCCCTTTTCTAAAGGCAAACCCTACAACTTTGCCAATCTTTTTAATGTTAGGAATGGTGGTAATCTTGATGGCTGTCGACCAATTATCACTAGCAATCCAGACCTTATTTATATTCCTTTCAATGGCTTTACTGAAGAGACTGATAACATGGAATTGCCTCAGAAATACCACAATGACATTAACGTGGGCTTCTGCTATGATTTTCTCCAGTGTCTGATTGATCCTGATTTCAATGGTGTTATCTGAGAGGAAGGCTGGGAGAACTTCTTTGAAGGCTATGCACACGTTATTTGCCATGGTCTGAAGAACAAAAGTGCTGAGAGCCAGTCGTCCATAGTCATCATCTGTGGTTATGATGCCAATCCAGTTCCATCCAGATTTCTGAATCAGGTGGGCCATTGCTTTAGTTTGGTAGAAGTCACTGGGCACAGTTCGTAAAAATGAAGGAAAGCGAATTTTGTCACTTAGGATTTCTGCCGTTGATTCATAACTCACCTGGAAATTGACAGAATCTTTTAGTTATGGTGTTGAAGAGCTCCAGACGGCTGTGCCTAGTAGGTGTTGCTTGACTCTGAGTAATGATGCAAGAACTTAGTGCAGGGCTCTCTAAAATCTCTTCTGGTTCTTCAGAGACCCCTTTCCTTACCTCCTGGTTCTTGGTTTGCATTACAGAGAGAGCTGTAGTTCCACAGTCTGCTCAAAGCTTTCTCATCATACTCAGAACAAATGCAAATATGACCACAGTTTACAAGATGCTACATGACCTGGCCTTGGCCTCTCTCCGTAAATGCATTTCTTACCATGCTCCTTTCTGCTCACCTGATCTGGCCATTTTTATTCTTTGGACATGTTAACGTTGTACATGATGATTTTTTTTAGCCTAGATACTGTCCTTCCCTCCTCCATCTTCCCTTGGCTGCCCCTTCTCATTCAAACATTATCTCTTTGAGAAGTCCTTCTTGACCTCCATTCCCCCTTCCTTCTCACTCTCTCTTCTGTTTTCTTTATAGCACTTGACTGATATTATTTCAGAAACAAGGCAGTTGAGCTCCTCAAAGGTTTGTGTCTGGCCCAAATCATGCTAAAACTAGACAGACTGAGAAGTGACTACTCCCTTTGTGCTTTGTCCGCTATCTGATCCACATAGGAAACATCCTTTCTTGGACTAGGAGAAAGGAAAGTTTAAAGTAAAAGCAACTTCCTAACTAGTTTCCCAAATTACCCTGACCTTTCATAATAAAGAGTGCAATCAAAACCAAGGTAGGGAGGTAGAACAAAACCTACCTGTGGCATGAGCTGTAAACTCAATATCCTGGAGACAGCCATGCTTATTTCTGAGTAGCCAGCCCCTATGACAGCCTTAACCCTTGGCATATAGCTGGAATAGTTACACTTAACCTCCACAATTTCTCTGGAGCAGTTGAACTTAGAAAGAAACCTCAGAGCAGCTGCCATTGCCACTGTCACTTCGGTACAAGTGTCATAGATCTCGTACCCCAGTTTGACTCCAGATAATAATGTTGAATTATTGATCGTCTCAATGCTGTGTATCATAGCAAGAGTTTGAAGAAACATTGCTATTTCAAACCTGTTGAGAAAGAAGAATTTTTTGAAATCAGAAATTAACTTTTCTACAGACATGATGATATCTCATTTTATCCACATGTCAGCCTCGTAATAGACAGTTTCTGGATCAAGGAAACTTACCTTTTGAAGGGGCTAACCTTTATTAATTTAAAAATAATTTTTGATGGAAACCTTCCTAAAAAGGTACATAGAAACCCAGCCCAGCCAGCATGGCTCAATGGTTGAGCTTTGACCTATGAACCAGAAGGTCACCATTTGATTCCTGGTCAGGGCGCATAAGGGAGGCATCTGATTGATGATTCTCTCTCATCCTTGATGTTTCTATCTCTCTCTCCATCTCCCTTCCTCTTTGAAATCAATAAAAAATATTTTTAAAAAAGGATTCCCCCCCGCCACACACACATAAAAAAGGTCCCACAGTTTCTCAAGTGGATTCTATGGAACAGGATTTAACCTTTTCTTAATGAATTTTGGGATAATTTTGAGCACTCAGTTTAGTATTCTGCAGTATGAAGATGTGTTTGATTTTTCCTTTTTGAATTTAATGTCAGCACTTTATTGCTGTCTGAGCACCTGTGTTTTAGATTCACAAGCCTATATTTCAATTTTCTGATTCTAATCTGTTGTGGCTGAAAATCAGATTAATAAGGCTCTTAAAAATAAGCTTACAAAGCAGTCTCTGAATAAAAGCCAAGTAGACTTCTCCTGGGTAAAGTATACTCTTTTGGCTCCAAGGGATTAGCTATTTCTTACTTCAGAGGGCTTTTCCAATTGACTTCTAGGTCTGTGATTATTCCAGAGCACTGAGCTATTTGATTACTTATTTACTATTATGCCAGTGGTTCTCAACCTTCTGGCCCTTTAAATACAGTTCCTCATGTTGTGACCCAACCATAAAATTATTTTAGTTGTTACTTCATAACTGTGATGTTGCTACTGTTATGAATTGTAATGTAAATATATGATATGCAGGATGGTCTTAGGCGACCCCTGTGAAAGGGTCGTTCGACCGCCAAAGGGGTCGCGACCCACAGGTTGAGAACCGCTGTATTATGCTTATTTCATCCTTTGCCACGTACAAAAGGTTGCAAACAGAGCCTAAAACGTACTATAGGTTCAATAATGTTTTTAAATGAATAAAGGGGGATATTATTGTTCATGGTTTTGCTCTTTTAAAGTTTCCTTTTAATTAATTGAGATATAACAAATTACATAAAATTATTTGAATAACATTTTTTGTCCTTGTGGATTACCTAAATGTGAAGCTTGACAAATTTACATTAAGTTTTTAATGTAAAGAAAGACACAAAGAAGAAAGGTTAAAGCAATGAATTATCTGCCAATTAAAATGTATAATATTTTCAGAGTACCCACAAGTTAGCTCCATGAGCATCAGGACCTCTGGTGTATTCACCCTAGTATACCCAGTGCCTAGGACTGGGCCTCGGTGACGTAGGCATTTAATAAATAGTTGTTTAATGGTGAATGAATATTTCTCTCAAGGAGTGACAATAGGTGAAAGGATGTTTAATTTAGTGATTTTTTTTCTGGAATAAGTTTGCTTATTAGATCAAATAATTCTTTAGTGTTTTCCATTCTGAATGATTAGCCTACAATTGTGGGCCTCAAATCTGTAGTCCTTCTTTGGGTACCAATTTAGTGCTCTGAAAAAAATCTTCATTAATTATTTTGGAGTGTTCCCCGGTATTTTTGATAATCAACAATTATGATAACAGTAGCTCAACATGACCAGCTTCTGAGTAGACTGCCAGGAAGGAATGTCAATGTGCTGTGGGATCACATTTTATCTGAGATCTTCTTAGAGGGGTTGGTAGATACCTTTTAAAAAATTTAAGTATAGTTGGTATACAATATTAAGTACTATTTGATAAAGAAAGAAAAAGGGGTGGGGAAATGAGGAGATTAAATTTACACAAAAACATCAAGATAGAATTGGGACGTTAGGGTTAAAAGGAAGCATGGGGTCAGATTGCCATAGCTACAAAAGCTTATGCCACCTGCATCCTTAGAGGTTCTCCAGGCCCTTATTTTACAGAAGAGAACATGGGAACTAGAACTCAAAGAGTTTAAGCCAGTGGTTCTCAGCCTTCTGGCCCTTTAAATACAGTTCCTCATGTTGTGATCCAACCATAAAATTATTTTCGTTGCTACTTCATAACTGTAATGTTGCTACTGTTATGAATTGTAATGTAAATATCTGATATGCAAGATGGTCTTAGGCGACCCCTGTGAAAGGGTCATTCGACCGCCAAAGGGGTAGCGACCCACAGGTTGAGAACCGCTGGTTAAGCGATTGGCCTAAGTCTACAAAATTAGTTTGCCCCCAAACTGAAATTAGAATTCAAATATCCTGCTCTCCTTAAAGAAAATCTATTTGTAACATCCTCTACCCACCTTTACTTTTCCATATTAAGCTGTGCCTGATGTCTTCTTTATAGTCGAGCTTTCACATGTAAGATGTTTAACAAGGAAGGAACACTTTGGGTTGAGGAAGGGCCTTAATTTATCATAAAACAATTAGATTAAAAAAACAACAAAATAAATGCAATGTTGACAAAAATGTTAATATACAGAAAAATTTTGAATGTAGTCTATTTTAAACTAAGGATTAAATAATAGATCCATGTTTAAAACAAAAACCATATTGTGAATGATAGAAATGTAAACATGTTAAGTATATTTGTGATGGACAGACTACAGTGTCTTCTTGGTTTTCTCAGCTGACTTCTGGGATTTTTTCAGGCAAAATATATATAAACTTATTAGTAAAAAACATTCATTGCTTCTGCACTTGGAGGCTAGTTATATACATAGCATTGATAACATCTCTCTTTTAAGGAAGCATAGCAAGACTATGACAACTTCAAAATATGGGAGTTTAGATTTTATTAAAACAAGTTAGATGTCAATACAAGTACACATTTACATACCTGCTATCTCTGTGTAAGCTTGAAATTTAATTGTGTTCTTTAAGGCTTTACTCACCCAACACATTTCTGGATTTCTGGTCGTCTGGGATAATCTTTTGAGGACAGCATTTTTTCATGAATGGCGAACAAACCTCCAATCATGATATGTCCCGGAGAAGTGGCAGCCACAAAGTCATCAGGGGTCCGGCAAGGCTGGGAAGTAGCAAGAATAATCACAAAGCAGGTAATCAGTACAATCAGTAATGCCATGTTTCTAACTCATTTGCTCACTTCATGCAAGTTCTCAGGACACATTAAGCTCACAGAGTGCCAACAACATGTAACTATTTTCCCTGTAAACACCATGGAAGGCACAGGACAGTGTCAAGGGCCAGAAACACTCAGTATTCAGATACTTGCTCAAAGTCAAAACAGCTCTTCACCAATAAGAACACATCAGACTTCCTCACACTCCCTTGTGGGAGATGTGTGACAGCAGGAATGCCTGGTAAAGTGGAGAGAAACACAGGGACAATTTTGCATTTTCAGGGGTGTCATATTCAAGGCCCCAAAGCGTCAATGCAGTTCATAAACTGTTTAAGTAGAATTCTGCTTTTATTTTCTTGAAAAAGCTCTATTTAAAAAATGAAATTCAGTTAAATTTAGGTATTTATCACTTCCTGTTTACATGTAAGAGGAATAAATCATTTTTGTAATGATGGGCAAAACTGAAAACAAGGTGGAACTTGTCTGACATAGTGTTTTGCTTTGAACAAGAAAGTTTTGCCATGGGTCACTGACATGTCCACAGTGTGTGGATTTGATTTTTATAAACTTAAAACTGGTTTCAGGCTATATGTTCTTAAAAGCTTAGGAATCTGACATAACATGATTTTATGGATATAATTTAGAATCTATAGAGGATAGATAAACCTCAGTAACTTAGGTACCATTAAGAAAAAGTTTAAAATTCTAAACTTTACCCTTTAAAATCAATCTTTTTCAAATATTGGATTACTAAGGAATAGATCATGAGCAAGCAATTCCAAATCCAATATATCCAGTTTTGTTTTGTGGGTAGCAGACACCTTTAAAGGAATTTCAGAAAATAAAAGAGTACAGTGATTACTGTGCTATTTTTCATCATCCAAATTAGCCATCGTTTCTTTGACACGTGGAGTTATGCAACAGAAGAGTGGAGAAGTTCTACTTCTTCACACAGTGTCGAATGTTTCCTACAGTCTTACCATTTTCACCAGTGGCAGGATTTCCTCTTAGGTCCCAAACAGGTTAATAGTTGTCCAGAAAGTTTAATAAACCTACATGAGTTTAAAGACTCTTCAAATATCTTGCATTTGCATTTTACCTGACTCACCTTGGCTCAGTATCCCTTTACTGTGCTTTCCCACAGTGAATTGCCATTTATCACTGCAACACTCCATCACATACCATCTTCTCTGCTGTACTCCTGTCTATAATCGAAGTTTATCTCTTAGCATTTTAATGTAATATGTAGCTTTAATATTAGATAATTGTCTTTAATAGGCAACATAAGCAATATTATTCTACTTAGGGGACTTCATGGGAACCTGTGAATCCCTTAAAGTTGTATACAAATTTGAGTGAACATGGCCTCTGTGGATTTTGGGGGGTGGAGAACATTCAGTGCTTTTATCAGATTATCAAAGGGGTGTGTTATGCCCAGAAAAGTTAAGAACTGTCTATTAGAACAGATTTGAGCCTTCTTCCCCAGGAAACACAGGATGTTTTCTGAGATTATAATGCTGCCTTTGTCGTTTCCCATTTCTAACTGGAGTCATCCTCACTCATCTTCCACTAAAAACTTCATCTTTTGCTTGATACACACCACCATTTAATCCCACCAACTCAAAGGATTATATTAGCAAAGCATTATCACCCACAAATCACTTCTCTTCCCCCTCAGAGTAGAACTCAGATCACCACCCTAGAAAGACCAGACCTACCTACCATGAAATGAGGTGAAGGATGGTTGTTTCCTGGTGAGGTTAAGCAGAACCAGTCTCTATATAGGATTTTATTAGTCCAGAACAACCCAAGTGTTCATTTTTCATAGCTATTTTTATTATTCTTTTTTCACCAACCATACAGCAAATGCTAATTGTTATTAAAATAATATTTTTTTTCTGTAACTTGGAGGTATATGTATTCCTCCCTGCCCCCAGCTCTCTCGCTTATGGGAAGAACTTTAATATTGTAGGTTACCATTTAGATCTGCCTTTCATAATCTCATATGGAATGGTAATGTAGCATTTCATCATCTCCCTTAGCTTGGATATTACAGTTTCACATAAAAGCACTTCTTTTACCCACTTTATCACTAATTGTAAAATAGGCAAGGAAATAAAAATCCAGAAGGATCTACATCAATATCTAATCAGTTCCTTATTCTTCTTTTTATGTTAACTAAATTTCTCATACTGAAAACTGTATTTTATTTTCAGTGGAGTTATAGAAAAACTAAAAGGTTTTAGTCTTTTGTATAACAAGTTGTATATGCTTGAAAGCTATTTTTAATATCAAGCTAAATTATAAATTCAATAGAAAAACAAATTTTCCAAATCACCACTTTAGTGCTGTTGATATAATTAGTTGATTGATTGAACTTTTCAATGAGTTTTTTGAGATCTATGGACATAGTTCAAGTCAACCACTTAGCTCTCTTTTCTCCATGGTACATAAATAGTGCATAATTTATAAAATATACTTTTCTCAGGAATTTACAAACTGCATGCCCGTGTATGTCCTCACATTCCCTAATAAACATTCCGCACACAACAGATGTTTACACAGGTGGTAAACCTATTCCTTCTTATCCAGGTTGCTGTGTTGGGCCAAAGTTGAAAAAGTATAAAGATCATCCTTTTTACTCTGCAGATGTCGATGCTAAAGTATTTTCAACCTTCTTGTATTTGATTTTTGCTTAAATGTCACCTCCTTGAGAACTCATTCATTTTCTCCACAGCATTTATTAGTATCTGTCACTGTTAGTTTTTTGTTTATTATCCATCTCCTCCATTTTATTTTAAAGCTCTATAAGGATAGAGATTATGTCCACATGTTTACTTGAATTTCCAGTACCATACACAGTGCATAGCACATGGTAGACACTCAGTAGCTAGTTGTTAGACAAATGAATGAATATATTGGAACAGCATGGAAGTGGTGATTACAGCTTTGGCTGCCCTTCTTAGCTGAGTGGATGTATCTTTAGGAACCTGCAGCACTTTGAGGAACTCTGAAAGCTCATTTGGTGAAGACTACTCACAAACCAAAAGCAGAAACTCCAAGATCACACTGCTTTTCTCCAGAATGAAGATTTGTTTGGGGAATCAGTGATACCAGTTTCCCTGTTGATTCATTCTCTACTCTCTGCTCCTAATGAGGTGGTATAGTAAGCACCTGGCTGATTGTAGACGCAACAGACTGTTCACTACCGACTTATTTGTTTTCAACATACTTCATCAGGTTCACAGTTCATGTGAGTGTCACATGTTTGTGTTTTAAAGAGAAATAACTTTCCAACAGACTGTTCACTACCGACTTATTGTTTTCAACATACTTCATCAGGTTCACAGTTCATGCGAGTGTCACATGTTTGTGTTTTAAAGAGAAATAACTTTTTATATGTGTCACACATGCAACTCTTAGTAAATGATAAGTAACTGGACAACAAACTCAGAACTATGTCATATGAGCAGGTTATCAGTAAAAAGATTGCAAGATTGCTCAGGAATGGGAATACTTGTACTAATAGGTTTCATACCAGTATAGGCAAAAGTAAGAGGTTGGGAATTTTGATTAGGAATCAGGACATTGTGTAAGAGACAAGATCTGAGATTCTAGACAATCAACAGGTTTAATCCCTCAAACAAAGGCAGACAAATTTGGTTGGACCAGGTCAGTGAATTATTACAGATCTGGCTGCTTCAGTTGAACGTGTTTTTTTTTCAGAGTTTACTTGTAGAAGATAATAGAGCTATTGAAAACATAGATAGAAGACAGTGTAACAGGTAACTAATTTAGAAAGATAACAATTCTATTTATGACTGCTCTATAGAATCCTAGGTAGATTCAGTGGATCAGTAGTTTCATTTAGCTCAGTGGTTCTCAACCTTCCTAATGCCGCGACCCTTTAGTACAGTTCCTCATGTTGTGGTGACCCCCAATTTCATTGTTACAAATTGAACATAATTAAAGCATAGTGATTAATCACAAAAACAATATGTAATTATATATGTGTTTTCTGATGGTCTTAGGCGACCCCTGTGAAAGGGTCGTTCGACCCCCAAAGGGAACTGCTGATTTAGCTCTTTGAATCTATCAATGTATCCTCAAATACTGTAGAAATAAGTGCATTTAATTCTTTATATCTGTAAAGTAGAAAATAAGAGTTGGAAGCAAATGAGCCATAAATATATTTGTGCTGAATAGACTAATATCAGATTTCTTAAGTTACTATCAAAGATAAACTGATTGTGTAGCATTCAGTGCTTTGGAGAACTGTAGAGAGGACTTGGATCATTTATACTCACAATTCTATTCTAGGCTTGCTTTATCTAAATTAGCCTCAAGCAATTACCTGACAATATATCAAAGTTATTTTTCATTTGCTTGTAGATACTTTACTGGGAAAGAAGTATATTAAGCCATGCCTATAGTATATTCATATTCAATAAATACTTATTCAGTGTCTACTCTGTGTCTGGCACTATTCTAGGTGCCGGAAAACAGAACTGAACAAAACAGGAAAGAAAACCCCATACCTAGAGAACTTGATATTGTAATGGGGGAGACAGACAATTATATAAAATATATGTTTTATAATATATTAGCTATTAAGAGGTTTAAAGAATAATAAAGCAGTGAAGTGGTCAGGCAAGTGGTCAGTTAAGGCCTTGCACAGAAAATGACATTTGAGCTAAGACTTAAAGAAGGTGAGGGACAGAACTGGGTGGATGAGGGAGGGAAGAGTGATCCAGGTAGACGGGAGCGCAAAGGCCTGAAGAGGGAGCACCCAGAGCAGCGAGGGGGCCATGAGTTTTAGTAAAGGGGGAGAGTCCTAAGAGGTGGATTAGAGAAACAATAGGGGACCATGACAGGAGGGCCTTGCAAGTCATTGTAAGGACCTCGGTTTTTCCTCTGAAATGGGAAGTTATTGCAAGGTTTGGGGTAGTAGAGTGATATATTCTGATTTACATGTTTAAAGGATCACTTCATCTCTGTACTGAGATGAGATTGGAGGCCTGTTGGTAGCTGTTGCTATAACCCAGGCAAGTTGATGCTGGCGCCGATGAGTCTGGTAGCAGTGAAGAAAGT